AAATCCGAATGGATGAGTTTTTTCGATTTTAAATTTTCCAATTTATAGTATAAATTGTTTTTCTCATAATGATCATCATTATGAAGTGTTGTGACAACTTGTTTTCTTTTTATTGACTCCTCCTCATTAATGGATCCGTTTAATGTTATAGTTTTCTAAGTAAAGCAACTTTTGCGGAAAAAACCTTTTTGCGGAAAATCTTATTTGCGGAAAAATTCATGTCATGTTACGTGTCAAATCGATGAAAAGTTTATGTGCATAAAGTTAAGCTATTTTCTTGAATGTTATTTAATAAATATTTCATAATTTTAAGAATAGATTTTTTTTTTTTTGTTCGACTTTCCCTTCTAACATAGATGAATGGCCTTGCAGTGATGGCTAAATGAATTCTATCTTACCTGGATTTAGAGTTACTGTTAGAATTGTCTTTCTCTGAGGATAATTACCGGTAGACTAATGAAGTTATCCTGCCTGTAGACATACTTTGTTTAACCTTTCAGTTGAATTTTAATCTAGCGTGGGAAATACTACCGTAAGTATACCTTGCAATATTTATTAGGACACGTAAACTTCATCATCCCTTCCAATGACAATGAGAATAACTGTGGACAGATATATGTACTAATTACATAAAAAATGTATGTGAATAAATAAATATATGTAAGTCGAAAAATATTTGAAATTATATTCAAATTCAAATAACCAAAATATTTATTTGTTTATTCCAATTAAATAATTAATCTAATTACAAATAATGCAATTATTGATTATTATTATAATATTAAATATTATCATTCAGTTAATCATTACATCTTTTCTCCATCCATCCCATTTGTTTAATTTATCTTTTCGTTTCTTTTTTTTCTCTCCTTCTCTCTTTCTCTCTCTCTCCCTTTCTGTCCTTTTTTTTTTACATTTGTTCCTTTCTTACCTCATTTAAATTCCTCTTTAAAATAATCGTGTCTGTCAATAAACAGAATACTTCCTGTTATTTACATACATAAAAACAGACACACACAGACACACACATACATACATAAAGAAACACACAGACACAGACATACACAGACACACACAGGCACACACACAAGGACACACACACATATATAACAAAGAAACACACAGACACATACACAGACACACACAGACACAGACACGTACAGAGTTATATCTTTCCAAAAGGATAAAAATAACTAAAATCCCATTTGATAACTGACTGCGGAGGAAGCATTCTAAGCCTAAGCAGTATTATGTAATCCAATTTTTTCCCACTTGCAATAATATATCATAAAATTTCCTTTACATAAGGTTAAGGTCAAAGTTTAAGTTGAAGCTAAAATCAAAGATTAGCTTTCTCTTTAAGTATAATATATTATTAATCATTGTGATATATTCATATCACAAAAATACCATCAAATAGAATGATTATACGATCATATGATCATCCATTTGATAACTTTCAACAAAATGATCTTCATTGGGCTTCTCAATCATATTGGTTTGTTTATTATCCATTTTAATTGGAATTAATGAATCCTTTTTTTTTTCTTCAACATTTTAATTATTTCAAATGTCATTATTTTCTATTTAATATTAATAAGTATGAAATAATACAATTTGGAAATAATAGTTTTTGTTTTTTTTTAAAAAATTTATAAAATTTTTTAACTACAAAAAATGATTATTGAATTAATATAAATATGCAATAATTAATTATATCAGTAATGATATTATTTATTGAATTCTTCCAAATTATAATATCGAATTATTTAATTAATTTTTTTTTCTTATAAGATATATGTTATATTGATATTGTTAAAGATTATTTTGATGTTTTTTTAATAGGTATTTACATAATCGTGATTTTGCACCAATGCGACCATATTCATTTACACGTATTTATGGAAATACGTCAACTTATACGCCACCAATGCTTGCTGCTGAAACACGTAGATTAACACAACGACGTAATTATACAGGTTATACGTATATTGGAGCAGAACATAGTTATGATATAACATCACGTCCAAATTCACTTGATAATTATCGCTCTTGGCGATTACATATACCCAGGTAAGACAATTTTTTTTTTTTAGCTAAAATTTTGATAATGAAATTAGAAAGAATATATTTTATTGTACAATTATAATTAAATTTTATGCAAAAAAAAGATGAAATGTTTTTTTTTTCTTCTTTCTTAAATCAATATTTTTCAAAACAGGTTACAGATTATAGGTAAAAATTACTCATACAGATTACAGTTGAAAATTACTCAGGTAAAAGTTACTCAAATAGATTACAGACAAAAATTACTCAAATATGTTGCAAATAAAAGTTACTTGAATGGATTACAAATAAAAGTTACTCAAATAGGTTGCAGATAAAAGTTACTTAAGAGAATTTAACTTTTAAAATATCAATTTAATTGAATTTCATTACAAATGGGAAGCACTATTTATAATTAATTAATGTTAATACAATCATTGTTTTTTGTTACAAAAAAAAGAAAAATTTTAAAACTTCCTTCATAAATGCCTTCTGTATTTATCATTACTATGACTAAGTATACTGCAATAAATAAATAAATAAAAAAGAGTTTAGAAATGATTTATTTGTGATTGATACTGAAAAGGAAAATTCTTCTCTAACAATTTAATTATCAAATATAATTTGTTCAAATTGTTACTCTTTTAACATTATCAAAATAATTATCGATTAATTAAATTAATTTGATATTGTTTAACTTAGTAATTAATTGATAATTATTGTAAAATGATAAATTGTAAAAAAAAAAATTTTATGTATACAGTTCATCATGGTATTCATCATATTATGGTAGCAGTGGTTTACGGCATTATAATAGTTTTCGGCCACGCATATTTATCAGTCGTTTATCAACATATTGGACACCGTATTTTTAATACCTTTTATTACCTAAATGCTTAATTATTATGCAGTATTACTATTATCATTATTATTATTATTATTATTACTACCATTGTTACAATAATAATTATTATTATGAAAATAGACATGATTGCTAAAGAAATCACACGAAATATGAATAATTTATATTCAAAATAATTAATTGTCCGTTTCTTTTTTTACAAGTATTTCAGTATGATGAATATCATATTTTAATAATTATTCCAAATTTTAATCAATTACTACTAAATGATTGTCAATTTGATACATATATATATATATACATTATTTTTTTTTAAGATATTTTAATGAGTTTAAAATGATTTATTTCTGTCTTTTCCACTTTTATATCAAGAAAAGGAGGAAAATCTCGGTTTATATTTTCAAAATATTTCCTGTGCTAAATTTTTTTTAAATTAATTAAACTGTAACTACAAATGAAATTTTAAAAACCATAACTGTAAATGGAATTGTTTCGTAATTTCTTTTTTTTTTCTTACTTTGTTTCCAAAAAAAAAAAGATGGAAAAAACTTGCCGAAATAGGGGAATGATTTTACTAGTCATATTAATTTAAAAAATACTAATTTAATTTACTAATTTATTAATTTACTAATTTAAAAGGTAGTAATTCATGAAGAATATTTAATTAGCATGTTAATTTATATAAAAAGGAAAAAGAAACAAATCGTAGTAATTGTTTGGAATTTTTATTGTTTTACAATTAAATAATTAATTTCCCTCAGCATACTACTAATATTTCTAATGACTATTATTGCTGCCAAATAACAGTAAATTATTATTGTTATGTATAAAATGGATGTGATAATTGTTTTTTTTTTTCAAAATTTTCAATTCCTCGCATAAATGTTTCTTTCCTCTTTTCTTTGCTAATTTTATGATATGCAAATTTGAATTTTGACATGATATTTTAGCGACATATTCCATGCTTATCATATGTTAAATAAATAAAAAAATTTGTTAGTAATTATTAGTAACGATTTGCAGTACGTCGAAAATTTTCCGAATAAAATGCTTTTCATGCTTTTATGTTTCAGTGATACAGGAAATAATTCAACGTGTAAAATATGTAAAACTGGAAAAGAAAAATAAAATTTATTTTGTCAAATATAATAACTGCATAAATTTTTTGGATTAAATTTAAACAGAATGCTATTGCATTCAATTGATCCGGTCAATACTTATTTCAAACACATTTTTTAGCAACAATTTTTCCTTTTTTTTGTCGAAATAAAATCAAAATGTAAGATTTTAAAAAATTTTAAAAGCGTTCAAATTGAAACTTGCAAAATTAAAGTATTATTTTAATTTAAACATTGATGATAGCAATTCTCATGATGCTGTTGCTTGCACAAATTGCATATCAGTAAATGAAGTATCACGTGATATGATATTAGTGTCAGGTAACATTGACACTTACGAAATATTATGCAACGTACATATTCGGGAATGATATGGAAAATATGTGCTCTCACGGAACATTACCTGATCTGTTCACTACGTATTGTTTGGGTTACGTAACAGATATTTTATAAGTAACTTCTGCTTTCAAAAAACATTGCGCAACCGAAACGTTCATTGAAAATTAAAAAAAAAGGAAAATTTATACTTTTATATGCATTATGTTATGAGTTAATTTTGCTAAAATGTTGCTAAACTGAAACGAAATTTTCTTTCGAATGTTAACGTTAGTTTTAATCAATGAATATGATTTAGATTAATTTCAATTATTCAGCCTGTTTTTAAATTTCATTAGATGGTGATCAGAAGGAAGAGAATAATGATTTCTGGTAAGTTTAATTTGACAGAAATATCACGTAAAATGCGTATTTAAAGGAATCAATTGATTTCTGCTAAGTATAATTTGATAGAAACATCACGTAAAATGCGTATTTAAAGGAATCAATTGATTTCTGATAAGCTTAATTACATGGCTTATGTTCGCAAAAGAAATAACATTTCGATATATACTACAAGCTAAGGAAAAATAAATAAAATAACCATTTTGAAATACCATTGTATGTTTGTATAACATTTCTTAACAAATGTAAACATACAGAGAAGCCAAAAATATACAATAAGTAAAATTTTCTTATCAATCAAAAAATTTAAAAAATATCAATAATATTTTAAAATTTATTCACTCATTTAATGATTTGTAACACACTAATAATTATTTCAGTTTAAGATAGAACATTTGAAAAAATCATTTGAAAAAATCATTTGAAAAAAATGGAAAAAGAAAAAAAAGGGAAGAAAGGAAGAGATTGGTAATAGTATGGTAAAATAATGGTAAAATATTACTAAAATGGAAAATGGTAAATTGTGAAACAATGCTAGAACTATTACTAATGATAAAATAGCATTTTTTTTTAAACTATCATTTATAAATGTTGCAAAATTTTTTATTTATTAAATTTGAATATTTGAAAAGAATTTTTTTTAGATTGTAATTCGAAACATGAAAAGAAAAAACTAATACTCCCAACAAAACTAATATTTATGCATGCGATCTTCGACCAATATCTAACAGAAATAATTGGGTAATATATGGTAAAATTTTATTCTAGGCTAACAAAAGATAATTTACATTTCGAACATTTCTCGGCAAACATGAAGTCATCATATTGGAAGTACAGAATATATTTTTAAAAAAGTAAAAAATTGAGTTGATGGACATTTTTTAATTACATATCTCGTTATACTTTGGTAAGAATGCTAATTACCTAGCAACAGTCATGATCTACCTTAAGGTCTGAATTGAATATTGATATGTTACTAATTAAATGATAGCAATTTGTTTCAGCAAGTATCCAATCTTCTTTATCATCTGGACAAACGTACTGTCTGCTCATCGGTTCCTCTGAAATAAATTAGAAATGATAGAGTGATATTATCAAGTTCTACTATTACCGAATGATCTGTAATGTAACATGAGCATATTACGCCATAGTAAATTGGAATAAATCAGAACATACCAACTGGATACCAGTTGGAATTTTTCTATTCGGTTTTCGTTTTCCGATAATTGAAGTATTACATGTTTCTATAATGATTGACATATTTAATGACGGAGATGTATAACATTTTAATTAATGTTGAAGAATGAGCAAATCTTTGAATTTTGCAATTTACAATAGTGTTTACAAATTTAGTCTAAATTTTCTTTGTCAAATCAATCTGATTGGCATTTCTGGAAAATTTTACCAAAAATGGTTTCGGGAAAAAAGTTTAGAAAAAACTGAATTGAAGCAAAATGAAATGAAGCTGTAAAAAATAAATGAAATGAAGCTGTAAAAAATATTCTAAGGGCTTTGCACAAATTATTTCTCACAATGCAATATGGCAACTGAATTGAAATTATTCATGAAAGGTTAAAGTATAAAGGATTAATAGTGTTTGTTATTATTACATTACTATAGGTTATCGATAATGTTTGTTATTATTACATTGCTATAGGTTATCGATACACGTGGCTAGCCACTCCCATCAAAATTAGCATTTATATACGCGATCCCCTGCCAATAGCATACAGAAGCGGCTGGATGGTATCTATCTAACTGTCTTCATGAAATTTCGTTTAGCAAGTTCTGTTTCATTTATTTCGACGGAGAATGCCAGTTACTTTTTAAAGTTTTGCGTCATGCGATTTTAAGACTCCAACATGAGCACTTTCTTTATAAAAACAAAATTATCGTTTTATCAAATTTGTAATTGTGCAAGTTGGCAGAAATCTGCTTTGGAATGCTTGAGATCATTCTCCAACATAAATAATTTGTCGTTTTTGATGTTTGAACGGGAGATGTTCGTATTATACGCGCAATGAATGCGTACCGATCTCTTTTCAATGCTAATATATTCAGAACAGTATGCGCTTCAAAAAGTTTTACGCAACTGTTTCAGAATTGGCAAGAAATTATTCCCATCAAAATGCGTTTCATCTGCTTCATCGTCTTTCTCATCCAACTGAGTTACACTCAAACCATCGTAAGTTCATTTAAAATTAAAGAATATAAGATAGCACTGCAATATTTTAAGGTTTCAAACCTTTAGCTCAGTTTGAAATTGATGACTTCATAAAATTTGAGGAGCCGCAAACAGAACC